CACTCGACTTATTTTTTTAGGATAAAATCCGTACTCGACTCATCCTAATATATAAAAAATCATTTTTTATTAGATAACATGAGGATCTAATTGAAATATAATAAAATAGAAAAAAACTATTATTACAATTATCTTTAATTATATAAAATATAATGTTAATATTATATGGGATAATTTTTCACCTAAATCCAAATCGGATCCAATCTAAACTTAAATTTTTAAAATAAAAGATTAACTCATCCAATCAAATCAGGTCAAAACCTTTCAAGTAGAAATAAAAATCCCTAAATGCAACCCTCGAGCCTTAAATAACCTTCTAACTAATCCTCTCTACTTTTCCACTTCTCCCTTGCTAACCAATTACCATTTATGAGGTTAGTTTACTTCCATTAATAAATACTACCCGCCTATTCAATTCACATTTACTTTTCTTTTTAAGGTTTGGTAAAGAAATTTATTAAATTTCTATAATAGTCCATACATTCTGGTATTTCACTCATGCATTTTTTTATAATTATTTATATTTGATTTATTAGTTAATTATTATTTTAATGGTCTAAAATGATTATGAGATAGTGTATGTTCATAACTTTCTTAACCTATTAACAATACGTACACACCTTACAGACGCAACAGTTCGAACTCATGATCTTTAAGAAGAGCAATATTCTCTTTTACCATTCTTAGGCGTTGTGGAGGTTTATTTTTATAATGATCTTTCCAACTCAATATATTTAATTCACACTACCAGGATTCAAATATGTGCTATTATTTTAAAAAATAATATTTTATCTTGTTATAACAATTTGTAATTAATTTTAAGCAGAAATTTATGTTTCATGCACTCAATAATTTTATTTTGCCTTGTTATCAAGCGAGATTTCATTTCAAATAAAATGTCAGTCTATCTTAAAAGTTTGTTTAGGATCAAATTAGTATTTTTTAAACTTTAACCTCGAAAATTTAATTCATTATTTTTATAATATGCATTTGATTTTAATAATGTTGTTGATATTTTAAATTTGCAGTTATTTTTTAATAATATTATCATTAAAGTTCGAATTTAAATCTATCTTACTCCAATAAGTATTACGTGGTCTAAGTCTAATTGAATTCCAACCTCCAAAAAGTTTCAATAGTATTATTAAAATTATTTTTGGATGATGCGGGTCTCGATACTTTTAAAAGATATTTTTTGAATTATTTAATTTAAATTTTAAGTGTTTATTAGTATTATTGTTGAATTTTTTTAAAATAAAAATGACTGTTTTATATATGATGTTGTAAGTTTGAAAATATATATTTAAATTCTTTATTATTATTATATATTAACTTTAATTATGAAAAAATATAAAAGTAGTTTTATTAATGAATAAATATATTTATAATATTTTGGTATAATCACATGGGATTGTAGAGGCTCAATATGGGGCGATCATCCTAGCCGAATTTACTTAATTCGCAAATGTCGGGATTTAAACATCTGATTTTATTTAAGGGGTATAATCTCTAATCCTATTAGACAAATTAATTATTGGTTAAATAAAGTTATAATTACTAAACGTATTCTAGAAAATTATTAAGATAACTCTTATATGAAAAATGATATAATGAGATATAAAAATTTCAAACCCAAAATTAATTTATTTATCATATAATTATATCTTGATATTTTATGTAAAAATATATTGGTAGAAAATATACAAACAAACTCAAATTACTGTACAAGCTCATAAACAATACTGCAATAAACAAAAAGCTCAATTTATACGGGTGATTCTACAATTACGCTTTAGACGTGTAGATATGTTAAGGGTAAAGTACATAAATGGTCCCCCGACTATAAGAAGTTACTTTTTTTAGTCATTTGACTATTAAAAGTTATAAAATGGTCATTTGGTTATAGGATAATATTTTATTGAGTCCCCCAACTATTAAAAGTTACAAAAAATGGTCACCTAACTGTTAATATATTTCAAACTCGTCATTTTCTATTAAAATTTTGACAACCATCTGAGTTGGACATAAACATGTTGATTGTGATATGATAAAATCTGATCCAATAACTTGTTTGAGTTGTATTTTGTGGATAAACTCTATGTTTACAGTATGCAGTTGAGTCAGTGCTTGAAACATTATACTATCAAGTCAGTGCTTGAAAGCAACAACGATGTCAGTAGGCTTCATTAAAATATGATTTTATCATATATTAGTCACCAAGTTAATGTACAACTTAGACTATCGTCAATTTTAATGGAAAAAGACGATTTTTGAACATATGAATAGTCAAATAATTATTTTATAAATTTTAATAATCGAAGACTTAACAAAATAGCGTCATACAGTCGAGAGACTATTTTATAATTTTAATAGTTACGGGAATCAACAAAATAGTATCCTATAGTCGAGGACTACTTGTATACTTTACCCATATGTTAAAGGCATCTTAATACAATATAAAATATATATATAAATGACTCGTTCTATAGATGCAGAAGAACATATAATAAACATCATACGAGTATTTATACTTTTAATATGCTTAATAACTTATGTCGTGTACTGGAACTGATCACAGTTGGATACCCATCATATTCACCATTAGTAACCCTATTTTTCTTTCTGGTTGGAAGCGACAACAGTCGATTGAGGAACAAGCCCACCTTGATTACACTCACCTGCGTGCCCAGGTACATGAAAGCGACCTGGGATACTTTGTACAAATATACCAAGACAAAAACACCTTAGTTGTGGCTTCAAATGCTTGAATAGTCCACCTCCATTTTTAATGCTTTGATTTGATCTGCTCGGATTTATCTCACCTTTAGATAGGGATGGATAGATCTGAATGAGTATTAAGATAACTATATTCTCGAAAATTTTAAATTTTAATATGATTTTTACATTTGTTTATATTTTTTTTATTGAAATATAATTTTATACTTTTATATTCTTACATCCTTAAATTTTTATATAAATTCATAAAAATTTATGTCTTTAACATAAAATTATATGTTAATTTCAGCCCTTAATAATATCTGGATATAATGTTAAAAAATGTTTCTAACGTTTGATTAAACAATAAATTTGACTCATATATTTTTTGAGCATTTGACCCTCATCGTTTCATTTTAAGACAAAAAAGGCTATAACATTTAACTAAAAAACCACTTTAGTTGTTATTCTTTTTTAGATCATTTTGATCGCAATATTTCATTTTGGGGAAAAAAACTCCTATTTTAGAGCATTGACCGTTTGTTGATTAACATTTTTCATATGCAGAGAGACCTTTTTACCAAAAAGTAAAACATTAGGAGTCAAAATACTCCTAAAAATAATATAAACTAAAATGATTATTTAATCAAATCTTAAGAGATTTTTTAATCATTATGTAGAGTATTTGACCTCACATGTTATTTTCATTCATGTTTGTAAATGAAAATGACACACTTTGACTATGTAATTTGGATTTAATATAGGGATCGATTGTCGACCATATAAACACATATCTATATGTTTATAGTTCCTGTTATTATCGTGCCGAAATACGAATATCTAATTGTAAAACCAGGAAATAATTTATTGACATGTAGTGGGACTTCCCTTTCTACCTTGCTGTCATGCAACATGGAATTCAAAGCCAATGCTCAAATCAAAGGCCTGCAAGAGACTTCACCAACATGCAAGTTCCTTGTTCTAAACAGGGTGAATAAAACTACTCTCGATTTGATAAAAATAATTAATTTTTTATTTAACATTAAAAATTTTGATTCATAGTTTCATTAACTCGATTATACTCAAAACAATTTAATTTTGTGTTGAGTTATAAAATATAGTTCAAACAGTATGAAATATTTAGTAATTAGCATATTAGTTTTCAAATTTAAGTTGAGTCTCTTAACTTTTTATGATATATTGATATGATATATGAAAAAAATTAAAAAAAATACATATATGTATACTGTATATTTATAGAAAATCGTTTAAATTGAAATAAATAGTACCATGATATTAAAAATATTTATAATTAAATTTAAATAGAAACTCGAACAACTAGACTCGACCTGAATTTCATAAACTCGACTCGAAAAAAAATAAATAAAATTTGAATTATAAAACAAAACTCGTCAACTGAAAAAACTTGAAATTATTTAACTCAATTCATCGAATACTGACTTCTATTTTTAGATATTTTAGACAATTTAAGTAGATGTTTGGGATAGATAGAATAGTCTAATAAAAAAATTCACTATTTTTAAAGGTTTAATTAAAAATTTTCAATTTTTGAGGGACATAATAAGATTTTTTTTTTGAAAATTTTAGACTAGTTTCACTGTATATTGACCAGCCTGAGTAAATCTACGTTGCGGAATTCATTAAGCGATTTTAGTAGTAAAAGAAAACGTTGTTTTCCTTAGAAGTTATGAGTTCGAATAATTACATTTATAAAATGTATATACGTTATAAATTTGTTAAAAAAGGTTCTAAACAAATATTACATTGTTATCTCTTCAGTCTTGTATGTTGTAAATTGATATAGGATCTGTGTAGATTTCTCTTGGAATTTTTCCTCTCTAATGATATTTTCAAACGAGTTAACCTAAACAAGCACTTGCAAGTGGATTTGCATTATTTAAATCATGTATTATTAGGAAGTGGTTAAGTGAATGAACAAATGACATATTCTTCTTTATTCATGTCATATTTTATATATTTTTATTTGAATGTTTTTAAAAGTAATTAAACAAAATATTAAAATAATAAATATTTAATTCTAAAATTAAAATCTTATCACAATTAAATGTGGTTTCGTAAATCAGATATAAAAAATCTGATTTGTGTCACTTACATAATGTTTAGCAGGCCGTAATCGGCCATATAAAATGAATATCCGAGTTATTTTACAAGTTTTTGAATTTAGGTGATGATAATGGAAGGTTGTTGTAGTTGAGAGACCATATGAATAGTTTATCCATTCGTTTTGGCATTTTTGGGTATGATTTTCCGATTTTCGTTATCCCCCAAATGATATAAAGGCAATTTCCAGGACATATTCAGTCCGATCAAGACTCAGAGTCGTTTAATATTTCCAGGGTTTTCACATCTAAGGAGTAAGAACAAAAAGCTCAGGTTCTCTCTCTTTCAATCTTCTCTTTCGAATCTGAATTTGAAAATTGGTTTCTGATTTCCATATTATATATGTTGCTTGAAAATCCCCTAAAAATCAATTAAGATATTTCGGTAGTTCGTTTGAATTGGTTGTAGTAGATCTCTTGTACTAGTAATTCATTTTGGTTTGTACTAGATCTCTTGTACTAGCAATTCATTTTGGTCAAAGCGATCAATCTACCGCTGAATAATGTAATTTAACTCTTTGAAGTTTGATTTCGTTTGACATTATGTGTAATTGCAACCATCTAACCTACGTATCACTCTGGATTGAATGAAAATTGAGACTATAAGTAATTGCTTTTCGTATGCAGAAGATTTCTTATGAGGAAGCCTTTATTAGGAGTATTGAAGACTTTTTAAGTTAGAATTTCAGGCTGTGTAGTAAAACATGCTTATCGGGGCTTCTCCCTAGCAAAATTTCAAACTTTATTTAACTTCTGAAAATCACTAGTACTGCACGGCCCTTTTCTGATTGTGGTAAGACCAGCTGGCTATTAATGTAACTTTTATGTAAGGGGTACTGCCAAGTAGTTTTGAAACCCTATCCGGTTAGCATAAATTCAAGGTTAGCAGGCGTAGGGGAATAGTACGCCTTAGGGTTACTTTTGAGAATGAAATTTCAATTATTTTTTCTTTATTTTTTTGGGGTACAGTTACAAGCTTACAATCGGGGAGGGAGAATGTTACTGTCACTGTCAGGACTCAAACCCTGGAACTTGAGAATACCGGCACATAGCTTTAACTGAATGTTTTAGCTCGTAAAAATTGTTTAATAGTTGTACCTAAGATCTAGGACAACTTACACTAATTCTTTTAAGGGATGGAGAGGGGGTGGGGGTGTTTATGGAAAAGAGGAGCACAAGCCAGCTATTGGTATGTGAACCTCATGTCACTAGCAGAATCGTCCGAAAACAGATTACTAAGAACACAAAATATTGATCCATTGATTATGTAGATTCAGGAAACTATACTATCAATTAAGTTGGCATTGCTAAGATGTAGACACTCATTTTTTTCTAAGTTTAAAAAAATATTTATTTATTTATGATTATTATTAATAATATTTTTATTAATTTTTTTTTCAGGTCCATGTTCAACTCCACTATCTCCATTATTCTAGCAAACAACCCACTCAACCCAACAACTTCCCTTTCCATCGTGCAGCCACTACCCCCAATAATTCAAACCAAATCTCATTTCTTCTTCCTATATATATATTATTTATAAAATGTCAAGGGGGGGGGTTTGGCAGAAAAGGGGGAGGATATTTACCTGGCTTATCCGAAATTGGAGAGAAGAAAAAAAGAAGGGCTCTCATCGCCTGGAATCCACTTCCCTCTCCATCTTCTCCTCTTCGTTTTTTTCCAGTTTGGCCAAACCATCAGCGCATCCATTTCTATCTTTTAGAATATGCTTTATTTCGTTCACCCCAATCTTTCTCTCATAAAAGTTTTGCAATCGTCTAAAATAAGTTCTGATTTGGGGTTTTCTGTCTCTTCCTCTTGCAACATATCGATGACTTCCCGTGGATCCACTTCAACAATCAGACCACCCGCTCTAGCGCGTCCCGAGATCCTATTAGAAGCACCATTCGTATTCAGCGTAACGTTGGCGGAGGCGAAGAAGCAGATGAAGCTGGTCAATGTGGAATCACTTAAGACAAAGCTAGAGACAGAAGGCAAAGAGGTGATCAGCTATTCGGAGTTACTCAAGGCCTGCGAGAGCGTGGACGTTACCAAAAATCTGGATGAGGCCATCAGTTTTGCACGCGTTCTCTACGAGGCTGGCGTCGTGCTTCTTTTCCACGACAAGGTTTATCTTCATCCGGACAATGGTAGCTTGAATGCAGCAGAACTTTCATACGTGTCAAGAGCTCATGTTGAGTGGCATGAACCTCAAGACAAGTCATCCGATGTAACTTCTCTCTTTATGTCTTACACTTTTATTTGCACTTTTAGTCTGGTTTGGAATTTTATGGTTCCTTAAAAGGAATGTTGACAGGTTCCATCTAAGCCAATGAAGTGAATGGTAGTCATGATAGCAGATTTTTGTAGTTGCATGCATGTGGTAGACTTTTTTCATTCAATTGGCATAATGTCACATGATAAGTTTTTCGAGTAAGTTGAATGATGCATTGATATACTGGTAAACATTCTTTCATTATTTATCTCTAGATGGAAATTTTATGGACTTGTGTCTATTCTTTATATCACATGTCATCAAGCATGATTCAGCTGGCGTTATCGATTTTGAGTGTTTATTTACATGGTAGTTTATCATCATTATGTAATAACTATGGGTTCATTTCTTTTCACTTGGAGAGATATCTTCTTTTCAAGTTCATTTTTTTTGTCAGTATCTTGTTTCGAGATTAAGTGTCATTTAGTCTAGATTTTTAATGAAAAATACTAACTTAGCAATGAACTTTCTCAATATTATACCTGGGAGAGGAAGCTTGAACTACTCCATTAAACCCGCAGACTTTATTTCTCTGCACATGCCTCTAACCCCTGCTACTAATAAAATCCTCAATGATGAGACATTTGCTAAGATGAAGAAGGTTCGATTTTCCAATATGGATCCCAAAAGGGTCCGCTTTATGGCTAAGGAAATCATCATTTTACAGAGGCTTGACCATCCTAATGTTGTGAAGCTTTTGTGTATAGTCACTTCAAGGATGTTGAGCAGCTTGTATCTTGTCTTCGAGTACAAGGACCATGATCCTGCGAGGCTTGCAGCAACTCCTGCCATCAAGTTCACCGAGCAACATATAAAATGTCACATGCAACAAATGTTTTGTGGCCTTAACACTGTCACCCCCACTTTATTCATTTTTTTATTATTTTCCCTTTAATTTATTTAATATTTATATTTATTATTTCAAATCTAACATTTTTACTTTTTAGGGATATTTTCAATCGATCAAAGGTAATTATTCGAATTGAATATTTAAATTTCAATTTAAATTTTAATTTTTGCAATTAAGACAATCGATAAATTAATTGGTACCGAAAGGGCGGTTCAAGGGTGCTAATCCTTCCTTGACCGTAACCGACTCCCGAACCCGCTACGTTTATGGTAAAACGCAGATCAGGTAAGATGGTGTCCGGCCCACCTAAATTCATTTTAAAATGGCCGGTGGCGACTCTAACCCATTTAATTTAAGTCGAAGCCCAATTCCGGGTTCAACCGAAAGACGGTTCCGACAGTTAAGAACCACTCTTGTGACTGCCAGTAGTTCACACAAGACAGAATAAGGGGAAAATCTCTGTTTGATTAATTCAAAATTCATATGGAGAGACAATATAGCAGCTCCGGCAATATTCCAGCATATTTCCTTCAATTTTGTTAATTGTACAAGTAGTATAGTAGCGCAAAAACTTGCCCATTTGGGCTTATGTATTGATGTTCCTAGTGTTTTTGATTTAGACTTTTTGTGCGATATGTTGTGAAATTCGGGTTAATTTCCACCAATAACAGATTCACCTTGAAAACTATTATCTAGGTGACTAGTGTGAAAACGATTGTACTAAAAATCACCCCAAGGTAGATTCCCAGGAAAGAGGAGGGGTCACAATGGTCCCTCTTAAAACCCACTTTCCTTAGACAGAACTACCAAGACAAGTAATTTTAATAGGACAATAATTGACAACAACTATACCCGACAATAGCTATTAAATAGACATAAAAGAGAACACCAAAATATTTCACTAATAGAGGAAATATTACAAAGAGAGAAAGAATACAATAGCCTTTAAAATAGAAGAAGGCTTATATTTGTGGGATGATCAACTAAGGAGGAGAAGGGCTTTATTTATAACAAAAGAATTTCCCCTCCTCCTTATACACAACCAATGTGGGACTTTTGCCAAAAACCAACAAATCTCCACCTTGGCAAATTCCACACATCTCTAAAAAAAACAAACTTTTAATTTGTAACAATATTGACCAAATCTAAACAATGTTTAAACTTGACCGCAGTTACCACTTTGTCAACATATCAGCAGGATTCTCAGTGGTCCGAATCTTCTGGATTATGACTCCACCTTCTTCTAGAATCTCTCGTACAAAGTGATATCGAACATCGATGTGCTTCGTCCTTGCATGGTAAACCTGGTTCTTTGCTAAATGAATAGCACTCTGACTGTCACAGTGCACTTTGATGTGCTTTTGTTCCATTCCCAATTCACCAAGCAACCCTTGAAGCCAAATTGCCTCCTTCACAGCCTCTGTAACTGCCATATACTCTGCCTCTGTAGTAGACAAAGCCACTGTTGACTGTAAGGTGGACTTCCAACTGACTGGTGCCTTTGCAAATGTAAACACATAACCAGTAGTTGATCGACGCTTGTCCAAATCACCTGCATAGTCTGAATCACAATACCCAACTACACACTGACCATCTTGTTTGTCCTGCTGAAAGACCAAACCAACATCTACGGTGTTCAGAATATACCGCAGAATCCATTTCACAGCTTGCCAATGCTCCTTTCCAGGATCATGCATATACCTGCTCACAACCCCAATTGCCTGTGAAATATCGGGTCTCGTACACACCATTGCATACATCAAGCTACCAACAGCACTTGCATACGGAACCTTTGACATGTATTCCCGTTCTGCATCATCCTTAGGTGACATGGATGCACCGAGCTTGAAATGAGGAGCAAGAGGTGTACTAACTGGTTTGACATCTCATTTATGCCAAAACGTTTTAGTACCTTCCTCAGATATTCTTTCTGAGACAAACAAAGCCTCCCTAATTTCTTATCCCTTGATATCTCCATGCCTAGAATCTTCTTCGCTTCACCAAGATCCTTCATCTCAAACTCCCTGTTCAATTGAGTCTTTAGTTTCGCAATTTCTGTCTGACTCCTGGAAGCTATCAGCATATCATCAACATAAAGAAGAAGATATATATAGGATCCGTCTTCTAGCTCGCGTAAATACACACAATGATCATATTTGCTTCTTGTGTACTTCTGCCCTATCATAAACTTGTCAAATCGCTTGTACCACTGCCTTGGAGATTGCTTCAATCCGTACAACGATTTTTCTAATTTGCACACCATCTCTCTTTTTCAGCAACTTTGAATCCATCTGGCTGAGTCATGTAGATTTCCTCATCCAAGTCTCCATGTAAAAATGCAGTTTTTACATCCATCTGAACTAGTTCCAAATCCAACTGCGCTACCAAAGCCAACAAAATTCTGATGGAGGAATGTTTTACAACTGGAGAAAATACTTCATTATAATCAACTCCCTCCGTTTGAGCGTAGCCTTTAGCCACCAATCTTGCTTTGTAGCGGATGTTATTCTTGTCAGGAAATCCATCTTTCTTTGCATATACCCACTTGCACCCAATTGCCTTCTTTCCCTTCGGAAGACTAGCTAGTTTCCACGTCTGATTCTTTTGAAGGGATTGCATTTCTTCATTCATGGCAATCCTCCACTTTTTATGTTCTGAACTTTGAACTGCTTCATTAAAAGTGGCAGGAACGTCATCAATTGCAATTGGTGATGCAAAAGAGACCATATCAGCATAACGAGCAGGTTGTCTAATGGTCCTCTTTCCCTTTCTGAGTGCAATTGATTCATGTTGCTGTGGAGGTTCTTGGGTCTGAACCTCTTCTTCATCTGACTCTTCTTCTACCATAGGAGAGTCAACATCATTTTCTTTACTGGTTGGGACAAATTTGCTTCCTTCAAACTCCACCTTTTTGGGAGTTCCATCTGTCTGCTCCAATTTTTCTGAAGTCACCTTTATCAACATGGTAGATTCATCAAAGGTAACATCCCTGCTGAAGATTATTTTCTTTGTTTCTGGACACCAAAGACGATAGCCTTTCACACCAGAGGTGATCCCCATAAAAATCGCCTTATTGCTCTTGGATCCAGCTTTGACTCCTTAACATGGTAGTATGCAGTGGAACCAAACACATGTAAGGAATCATAATCTGTAGCAGGTACTCCAAACCATTTCTCTAATGGTGTTTTACCACCAATAGCAGTCGATGGTAAGCGGTTGACAAGGTGACAAGCATAGACCAAAGCCTCAGCCCAAAATTCTTTGCCTAACCCAGCATTAGACAACATACACCGAACCTTCTCCACTAATGTCCGGTTCATACGCTCTGCCACTCCATTCTGTTGTGGTGTACCTCTGACAGTGAAGTGCCTAACAATACCTTCCTCTTCACAGACTTTCAGAAATGGATCATTTTTGTACTCTCCACCATTGTCTGTACGGAGACGTTTGATTTTTCTGCCTGTTTGAGTCTCCATCATCTTTTTCCATTTAAGGAAAAATCCTAGCACCTCATCCTTTGTCTTCATTGGATACACCCAAACTCTCCGGGAAAAATCATCAACAAAGGTGACATAATAGTGTGTTCCTCCCAATGAAGTTGTCTTGGAAGGCCCCCATACATCTGAATGAACATAATCCAAAATACCTTTAGTATCATGGATTGCTGTTCCAAATTTCACCCTCGTCTTCTTCCCTTTGATGCAATGCTCACAAAAAGCTAATTTGCAAGTCCGAGCACCCTTCAATAATCCTTGATCTATCAGTAATTTCAAGGATTTTTCACCAACATGCCCCAAGCGCATATGCCATACCTGGTTGCTTCTGACTCCTGTTCATCAGTAGAAGCTGCCACTGCTGCTGTCCCAACAATTGTACTACCCAGAAAGTAATACACATTGTTTCTTTTTCGGATTCCCTTCATTATCACCAGTGCACCAGAGATAATCCTCATAATCCCATCTTTTGCCCTCACTTCTAAACCTTTTGACTCTAAGGTTCCCACAGAGATGAGATTTCTCATTAAATCTGGTACATAATGGACACCTGTTAAGGTTCTGATAGATCCATCCTGATTCCTCAAGCGAATTGAACCAATCCCAAGTGTGTCAAGAGGGAATTATTTGCTGTGTAGACAATTCCACCTTTTAGTTCTTTAAAATCAAAGAACCATTCTCTATTGGGGGTCATATGGTGGCTACAAGCTGAATCTAACAGCCATGAACTGGAACAGCTGGTTGATGGCGTAGCAGCGAATGCGAAATCTGAATCTCCATCATCATACTCGACCACATTTGATTCTGAGACAGCCTTCCCCCTTTCAGGTTTGCCTTTATTCTTTAGCCTGGGACATTCTTTCTTCCAGTGCCCTTTTTCTCGACAAAAGGCACATTCATCTTTGCTCAATCTGGACTTTGACTTCGATCTCCCTCTGCTTCCTTTATTCTGACTCTTGGAACGGCCTCTAACAACAAGAGCTTCTGCTTCGACACTTGTGTTTTCTTGTTTGTCTTTCTTTCTCAATTCATAACTATACAAGGCAGCAGTTACTTCACTGAGAGACACATCAACCTTCCCATGAAGTAGAGTAGTTTCAAGATACTCAAACTCATCAGGAAGTGATCCCATCAACATGAGAGCCAGATCTTCGTCTTCAAAAGTCACGTCCATATTCATCAGATCAGTCACCAGCTGATTAAAGCTAGTAATGTGATCATTCATAGTGGTACCTGGTACATAGTTGAAGCGGAACAGTCTCTTTTTCATGTAGAGTTTGTTCTGACCGCTTTTCTTCAAAAATTTCTCCTCCAGTGCCTTCCACAATTTACTTGCAGAAGTTTCCTTAGAAAATGCATACTTCTGCTCTCTAGAAAGACACGATCGAATAGTACCACATGCCATTCTATTGATCCTCTTCCATTCTTTCTCCTCAACATCATCTGGTTTCTCTCCTTCAATAGCAATGTCTAGACCCTGCTGAAATAGGGCATCTAGAACCTCGCTTTGCCACATGCCGAAATGACCGGTGCCATCAAAAATCTCCACTGCAAATCTAACATTTGTCACAGCATTTCTTGCCAAAATTGAAGATGAAGAAGCGTCTGCCATTTCTGCTACAAATTCTATTTAATAGCTGCCAATGCAGAATGTCAATTATCCCAAGGAAATTTTTCTGATGTGGAAGATCAGCCTAAGCCGCAACCACAGAGCATACTAAAATAAACCAAGAGCGCTGATACCAATTGTTGTGAAATTCGGGTTAATTTCCACCAATAACAGATTCACCTTGAAAACTATTATCTAGGTGACTAGTGTGAAAACGATTGTACTAAAAATCACCCCAAGGTAGATTCCCAGGAAAGAGGAGGGGTCACAATGGTCCCTCTTAAAACCCACTTTCCTTAGACAGAACTACCAAGACAAGTAATTTTAATAGGACAATAATTGACAACAACTATACCCGACAATAGCTATTAAATAGACATAAAAGAGAACACCAAAATATTTCACTAATAGAGGAAATATTACAAAGAGAGAAAGAATACAAATAGCCTTTAAAATAGAAGAAGGCTTATATTTGTGGGATGATCAACTAAGGAGGAGAAGGGCTTTATTTATAACAAAAGAATTTCCCCTCCTCCTTATACACAACCAATGTGGGACTTTTGCCAAAAACCAACACGATATTCATGAGAATGTTTTGAATGATGCTATGCTTTGTTAATTAATAAAATAGTATGATTATTAAAAAAAATTAAATCAATATTGAGACATGATGGAAGCTCGAAGTGGAAGCCAGGAATATGTCATTTTTGGAAGAGAAGAAATGAGATTGAAATGTTTTGGAAGCTTTGAAAAGCTTAATTGCTTTGATTATCTACGACTGTAATTTGAACTTGCAATGCAGGATGTCGGAGGCACCATTCAGACCTAGGGAAATTCTTCTCGAGAAGCAGAAATATTTTCAAAGCATCTACAAGCACACTTACCTGAAAGGACCTCACGATAAGATCACATCAGTTGCCATTCCTGCTGCTTTGGCCGCAACTTCCTTGTACTTCATTGTGAGTTTTTGTTTCTACTTGTACACGTGCCTTTCAATGGAGGACCTATATGCTCATGTTGTGCTTGTTATATTTCAGGGACAAGGGGTCTATAATATGTCTCATGGGATTGGTAAGAAAGAATGAGGTTTTCTGGACTTTGTATGGTCTTTATATAATGAAATTGCTTGTTTAATTGCTCTAATAATGGCTTGGTTTGCACATTTCATTGTTGCCAGTGGAAATATTAAAGCTACCCTTGACGGGTTATTTTCAATTTGGTTTAATTCTTTTGATTACTGTATCATCTGATTTCTGTGTTTATTCCCTGTTAAATTTGAATAATCTCACTACAGAATCATAAAAAATCCTCAGGGTCCTTTGAGTTGGATCAATTTTTCTGGATCTTGTGGGTCCTTTTACTCACGGGTTGTTCATAAATGACTCGGATCAAGTTTGGGTTGGATTAAACATTTGATTGTTCATGCTTGATCGGGCTATGTTCTTTGATTTTTAAATATAAAAAATATTTTGTATGAATATTTTTAAATCAATTTTTTAAAAGTAAATTATTGATTAAGCTGAATCTGATTAGGGTCTAGAAGATTATTGTATTATATGTTCGACTCGGTTCAGGTTGGATGAATACATTCGTTGGATATTTTTCTCACTATGTAAGCAGAATGGAACATTAGGCATGGTTAGAAGTTGAAGATCCATCCATATAAAAGGGACAAAATTCTACTTTTCTCCTACGGTGATGAAACAAATATTATTAAAGCGTATGCCATTGTTACGGGTTATGTTTTTTTGTGCAACTGATTTAAATAGTGTCAACTATAGGTTTAATACCTAAACTATTACATTCGTTCTATTTTGGTATCGAATTTTAATTTTTTTTCTTTCAAAATCATATTTAACATTTAGTTTAAATCTCATTTTTGTATATCGTCGTTAAAAAAATTTAACGGTGATATTGATATGTCGTCATAAGATAATGTTACGTTATCATTGAACAAAAATAAAAATATCACATCAATAATTATGTTATTTTTTAACTGTGGGTACTAGAGTGGAATCTAAACTAAACATTAGGTATAATTGTAAAAAAAATTGAATATCAAAGCGAAATAAAAATAATAGTTTAAGTATAGGAAGTTTACTCATTTAAATATTGAATTTGGTGAAATCTTAAGAGGGATCCAATGCAAGAGGACCGAATTTACCCTTTTTTTTATATTAATCTAATAACACAAGTGACCTAATTCAAATAAGTTAATTTAAATAATCAAATAAATATAAGAAATTATACAAATATGAGATAAATACACAATATAAAGTAACATGAGATTAATTAAAATATTAAAATTTAAAATAACACTAAAACAATATAAATATGTCAATTTATATAATAAATCATTAATATTTAAAAGTGAATAGAAATTCATAACACTTTAAACACAACAAATACCAAAAAGATAGTACAATCATATATGCATTATTCATAAATAGCGTCAAAAATAATAATTTCTCAAACACACGACGGATAATCAGAACTAAAAATTAAAGCACAATACCTATCAAGTATTTTTCACCTAGTTAATAATATAAGAATTGCTAATCTCTATGTCGATATCGGGAGGAAACCCTAACACGGGAATCATTGAAACTTACAACAACCCGGGCGGACGTCCAACGGAGAAGTCCCTTCCATAGGACAACCGATAATCCTCGAAAGACCGGACTCTCCAATTCTCTTTGAGGACCAGCAGGTAACCAAGAAGGTAATAACAGATGAAGCCATGGACTATACCATGCAACCAGAAGCCTCTGACATGGAAGCAGAAGCAGTTGCGGTAAACAATCAAGGAACAGGACTAGGGCTTAATTCTCCCTCACCAACTAACAGCAAACCAACTTACGCCTCAATGGCGGCAAAGAACACAGTGCAAGACCCAAGGGTAGGATTTGGATACAGGTTTGAATCCGATACGGTGGAAGTACTCGATGAAGATTGTATTATCGATGAAACAGGTGAATTCCCCACAATCAAATTCTCTGACCGAGTTCATGATCAAATCGACAAAAGTACGAGTACCGCAATAATAGTCCGATTACTCGGAAGAACAATTGGCTATAAAACGTTATTCGACAGGATCCATGCACTATGGAAACCAAGAGGAGAGATTCAACTTATTGACCTGGAAAATAATTACTATCTGGTGAAGTTCGAAGACGTAAGGGATTACTCGGAGGTCTTAACCGAAAGGTCATGGACGATTTACGGAAATTACCTAAGTTCAACCCTGGAGCAGATCGTTTTCCACAACGGAGAAACATCCATCACATCAGATTACCTGGCCTCCCTTACCGATACCACTGTCAGGCTCTATTACGACAAATAACAAATATGGTTCCAAGTAATTAAAGTCGATTACAAAACCCAAGTAGGAGAAAGAGGTATGTTCGCAAGGCTAGCGTTCATGGTGGATTTAAACAAACCTCTTAAATCACGAATTGGCATCGACAATTTCATCCGAAGATTAGAATACGAGGGTCTGAACTAAATATGCTTTGCATGTGGTATTTATGGTCACTCCAAAGAAACATGTAACTCCGGAGCACCATCAGAAGCTAACACGACCACCAACTCGAAACAACAAACAGTCACCACCTCTCCAGCAGTTCAAGATTAGGATCCATACGGACCTTGGATGATAGCAACAAACCACCGTGGAAGACCAAGCAATAAAACACCGGCTGTTACAAACAAAGGCAGCGTGGAAGCCTAAACTAACGGGTCCCGGTACGCAATATTAGAGGTTGAGGGAACAACAAACGAGAATGAGGATATGGAAATCGTTGAACACGAAAGAATGTCAACGATCGGGCCAAACAATGCCAAAGAATCAAACACACAACAAACACCCATGCAAAACAACCATCAACCCAGTAGCTCCCATGCAGCACTCCCTAGGACAAACACATAACAAAGTGGAAAAGCAAGTAAGGGTAAAAACATGATGGAGGTTATTCCCTTAGCTCCAGGCAAAGAGTCCGAAATAGTTAACCACAAATCTGCAATCGACAATGGCAATCACACAGCAGTCTCCATAGTTGAGCAAGGTTTTGTAATATCACGCAACAATAGCAAAAACTCATTACCACGCCATAATGGAACCAACAAACTCAATGGAGAAACGCTCCGGAAAGGTCTCAAAGTGCGTAAACCAAACACAAAAAAAAGCTCCACCCGCACAACTGCGATACAATTGGCAACTAACCTAGCAGATAACTTGGAAGCTCGTGTTTCTCAAGAAGGAATACAAGAAAGAGATGAGACAATGCTGGAAACCAGTGCACAAAACGTGATTCAACCGTTGGAGGAAAGCAATGACCCAGGGGGAACCTAAACGCTGGATACAACCGGTATCGCTATCCATAATGGTAATAGTCAAGGTCCCGAGCACTTAGTCTCGAGCATAATCCATTGATTCTGTTACTATGTCTTTCATCTTCTGGAATTGCCAGGGCGCAGCAAGCCCATCATTCGGCAGAATTTTCAAGTCCTTAATACGTGACAAACGACCGGATGTAGTAGCGTTATTTGAACCGCGGGTTTCCGGAAAGCGAGCAGACAAGATTTATCTCCCAATTCGGCTTCCACCATTCCTTCCCCATTGAAGCACACGGTTTTAGTGGCGGAATATGGCTATTATGGAGATAAGTTGTTGAAGTGGAAATACTACATATTTCAAACCAATTCATGAATAGGAGAATGAAAATGAGTGACATAAACTCCTGGATTCTCTTCATGGCTGTCTACGCTAGCCCTCAAAGTTCAAAAAGAAAGCAGCGCCTATGAGAGCAACTAAATAAACTCGAACCAGGAAACGAGACTCCATGGATCCTAGGAGGTGATTTCAATGCAATTTTAAATGCTGACGAAAGAATGGGAGGTTCAAATCGCACAAATGGGGGCAGTCGACTTTTCAACAATTTTATTAATGACACAGGCCTTTTCGATCTGGGATTCCAAGGCCCGCCATTCACATGGATCCGAGGAACCTTAAAACAGAGAGTAGACCGATGCTTAGCCAATACCAGCTGGATTAGAAGCTACCCGAATTCGCATGTGGAGCACCTAGACCGTATCGGCTCTGACCATCGACCGCTGCTCCAGTAGATGTTCGCTTGAGAGAAACAAAACTTCAACAGACCATTCCGGTTCCTGTCAGCATGGCAAGAGCATCCACAATTCAAAGATTTTCTATCCTCAACGTGGAAAAATCAGTACTCTATGGTAGACAACATTAATTCCTTCAAATCAGTAGCAAGTAAATGGAACTCGGAAACTTTTGGCCATATAGGAAAAAGGAGATTCAAGCTCGGTTTAGGGAAATCGAAAGAGCAACCTTGATATATCAATCATAATTTCTTGAAGAGCTAAAGGAAAAACTTCGCAACGAACTTAATACCGTCCTTGAACAAGAAGAATTAACGTGAAGACAAAATCATGTTCCTAATGGGCATTACAAGGTGATAGAAATATAAAGTACTACCATGCATCAACGATCACACGTAGACGAACCAATAAAATCGCTGCCCTAAAGAACGAAGATGGGACTTGGTACACCGATCAGGAAGAACTTGCTCTAATGGCCTGAGAATTCTATCGCAAGCTATTCTCTACCTCCGGCACGGACAATCATGCTTTCGAATATAAGAGGCTAGGTAAATTTACTGCCCTCTATTAGGAAGCCAAAACATTAATATGATACCACCGTCCAATGATGAAATAAGAGCTGTCACCAAAAGTTCGTAAAATTTGATTTATTTACACTCAAATTAAAGGCAAACATAATCATTGTTTCGTAAAATATATACCAAGATTTTACGTAAAATTATTTCGGATTTTAATTCTTGACAAGTCTTTCTACTCTTTATTGAAATTTCGTAAATTCAAAAACTATCCCATCTAGCCCCGAACTCGACATTTGAAAATAAAAATGGCATCAATCTCTTCTCGAGGCTTTCTTTTGATCCAACGTTAGAGGTCAAACAATTGACTTCACTTAAAACGTGAATGAATTCAACATCACCAAACACTTTAAAACTCTGATTAAACATGTTAGGATTTTATGATCCAAATTTTGTTTTATTTAATTTAAAATATTTATTGTAAAGATCTTATCGTATATTAAACTCATACATAATTATACTTTTTTTATTAGACGTTGATTAAAAGTAGAAAAATCTAATTTTAGTAGAATTTTTATTACACAAGTTT